ACATTGTCTTCAAAATTTCTATTACCAAACTTAGCTGAGTCATCAACTGAAAGTTATCTTCTTTTAAGAGTTCCTAACATGGGCCATAGCCTACATGTCCACCATAAATGGCCCCATTTGATCTCTCATTTCATCCAATTATCCATGAAGTTTCTACATAGCTTAGTTCTGATCACAAAGGGATGAAAAAGTCAAGATTTGCAATTCTGAAAAGAAAATACTAAGTCTGAATAAGTAATTCCCCCAACTTCGAGTACCTGTTATGAATGCATGAAAATGCATGTAATATATTATCATTTCCAGGAATCCTGAAATTTTGATTAAACATCCAATAGCAACAGGACAAAGCAACAAGAGGCAAGATAAGTGGAGAAATAAAGTTTCTCATATCATAAAATCAAACAACATTCACACAGAAGATCCTCAACATGAATACAGTCAAACTTCATAAAGATCTCGTCCAACAAATCTGGCGGTAATCTTATCGACAGATAAAAACTCAATAATGCTGAGATTTGCCATCAAAATCCAAATGACTGAGAGGACCCTGCCCGAAGCATTTATGGCTCCAAGCTTAGAACACGTGCGGTGTGCATTTAAATGCAGAAAACTCCGAGTTTTGCTTCACAATGCTGCTTAACAGAAAATTTGTCTTCTATAGCTCTTTCTCGCAGAGAAATGCCTTGATTCTATGAGTATAGACCCTATGACATGTATGTATGCATATGATGATGAATTATAAACCAACTAAGGTTAAAATGAAGAGAGATAATTTTGGGGCACAACAATCACACATCACCAGTTAATTCAAATAACTCATATTTTCACAAAATCACACAATTTAATTAATTATTATATTATATAATAAATAATAAAATAAATAAATAAATAATTAGTAAATAAAAATTGGGGTGTTACACGTCAAGTTGACTCTTCAGCTCTCTCAATTCAGATGTTGACATCCGATATGAAGCCATCGATACTGGACTAGTTCCAGGAACTAAGTCGGTCGTAAACTTCACCTCACACTCTGGAGGTAAATCACTTACATATTTAAGAAATACCTCAGGAAAATCACAATCAATTGGTAATTCACTAGTTTCTCCTTCTCGACTAATATCCAATGTTGCCATCAACTCTAACAACACAGCGCCATCCTGCACATACTCATTCACTTTACATACTATCAAGCTGGTAAGACAAGCATATCTCATCCAATACAATCTAGTATACTATCAACAAGAGATTAAGGGTGATTAGTTCCTCAATTTGTCAATAGGTAGTCGAAATCCATGATGGTGGCATAAACCATCGTTACCCAACTGCAATAACGTCCTTTATCTTATGTTCAAAGTTAGCTAAGCATAATGTCACACGTAGCAACAACTTCTCCCCCACTTGTTTCAATCTCTCTCTTACAAACAAGTGATCAGAAAAACAAGAAAGTACCAACACTGTTTCACACACATGTCAAGTACTAAGGGAATAAACACGTTAATAACTTGGCCAACTGGCCGACCATGCTCTGATACCTCTAATGTAACACCTCTTAAAGCTTGTACATAATATACGACATAAATGAGAGTAAATATCATGCATATTTCAAGAGAGTGTCACATGTATTTCGAAACCACAACAAATACATTGGTCATGCTCATAATACGCATTCAAAATCCTGCTTTATACATTAACTCATATGCATCTCGTAGCGGAATAATTTCAAAATGATACCAATATTAGTCTCATAATAGAGTTCATGCATTAAAAACATTAGGCACTAAAATCCAATCATCACATAATCTCAAATACAATAATAAAATAAAAGAGAGTATAATAAACATCTCTTAAAACAAATATGAGTTCAAACGTTTCCCCGTATTACATAAATAGAGCAAGACTCACTACCTAAATAAAACGGATAAACAAAGAACTAACTCTTCCAACTAATCCTTGCTAGAAGCATCACTACCTTTGGCACCTGAGCAATTTCGTATAAAAACATTATTCTAACAGAAGGGTGAGAATTCACATTATTATTAAAATATATAATAATAAGTAATGCATCACATACAAATAATAGTTGAATTCATCACACTTCACATATGCATGTATTTAACATTTTCTAACACAATTCAGATATTCACATATACAACATTGCTCAACGATTCTTGATTCAAATAAAATCAATTACCAATACCACAAATGTAGCATTCACACCAATATCATATATTGAACATCAATTCAATATTTCAAATCGACAAATGTGACTCCAATGCAACTCTATGCAATATGCATGTGGTATCAATTTTTATCCTTACATGTATCACTGAGTCCATCTACAAGACAGATAACCACACAAAAATAAGCTCGTCCCCTAAGCTTCAAACTCATCTCCAATGTTTGGGACAAGTCACTAACTCTCACAAAAGCTAGCAAATATTGCCTCTTGGCAACTTATGATGCACGTGCAATCTCATATATATATATATATATATATATATATATATATATATATATATATATATATATATATATATATATATATATATATATATATATATATATATATCACATAATTCAACACAATTGAATTATCTTACCAAATTTTACAACACACATACATCATGTCAATATTCACATACAATGCATACTCATAGAATTTATCAACTCAATACACCATAATAACATATTATGCATATCATTTTACACAACCTAGCAGTAATTAAATCACCTACTACTAGTAAGTCCATTTTTATTGAAAAGAATATTGCGCTAGTTTCTAACACTTCAAACGGGGACTCAAACAGAGTTACAGTTCAAAAGTTATGAATTTTTAAAGTTCAAACGAAAACGCAAACACTGACATCATACACTGACACTACAAAACCCCATTAAAAACCAATTAAATTTATTTCCAAGACATGAAACTATTTTTACAAGAAATTACACTATATTAACTTTCCTCGGGTTCAAACGGTGGGTCAAACGGATACTCGAAGCTCAAGTTATTAGTGAGTCAATGACTTATATTAAGAGTTGTGTAATTTTGTTATTATGATGATATTGTAATACAATAACTTATTACTCTTGTGCAATTGAAATTGACTTTGAGGTTGCAAGATAAACCTGGTAAAAATCTTGGTGTAAGGAAGGTTGTTGGGTTGGTCTCGTGTAAATGTTCAAGTTGTTGATGGTGGAAATATTAAGGGGGATTATTAGGGACTAGAGTAGGTCGCGTGGTTTATGGTCAAATCAGTATAATTTCTAGTGTGAACTCTCTAAACTCTATCTCTTCAATTTCTATTCTTTATTGTTCTGTTGCCTAATATCAGCTTCTATTTTCTTCTTAAAATCAATCAACTTAAAATTAATCTTTTGCAAAAACTCACTTGGTCAACACATGCAACCCCACGATAGGTTATTGAAGATAAAGGAAAATGCACTCTCACCACCAACTGTCCTGATTTGACCTCTATCCTCCCACGACACTTGAGTACTCTATAAAGACCACATAAACCTCGAAATATAGGGTCACATGAAAACTTTAACTGCAACATTTCTTGGCTTCAAAGTGACGATGGCTCAGCAACCGTCAGATGGCCAATGTCAATAGTCAAAAGAAGAAGTCTTTTAGAACTCATGAATGAAAGCAAAGACTAGGGCGACAGTTGTCCTAGGCCGACCCACTAATCCGACCCAATTTAAATGACCCAATTAGCGAATCTTCTAGAAGAAAGGCAAACCTGTAGACCTTCGCCACATGGCCACACATCAAATCCGAACTACATGCTCATCACCATCATTCAAATCTAATTTGATTGTCTCTTACACCTTACATCGGGCCAAGAAGGAACGGTATTAACTGTCTATTGTATAAATAATCAATTTCATGCATCATAATAGATATGATTCATTCATTCATGCAAAGTTACATATCTTTGATCTCCCTGATTTAGGTGTTGGAGTGGTTGCAAGTATATTTCTGCTCCACTGTATTGGAGGCTCATACAATTGTACTGGAAGAACTACTAACTTTATCTCATTGATCTCGTGTTTCACGTCGAAAAAATTACATAAATTTGTATAGAATATTATAACGTTATTTGATTAGCCGACTCCATTTAACACGTTAATACTTGACTTTTGTTTTTATTGTTGTTAGACACTTTTATGTAGAATTAATTAACAATAGATTTAGCATTATAAATCACACCTTAAGGCAAATTTTCAAATTTCTACTTTTAAATTGGAAGTAAAACCAATTTACTTGATATCTACTAAGCCTACCAAATTGAATATCTTTTATATGCTCATGGAATCTCTTTTATCTATCTCCAAAATGAATTCGGTCATGCACTAACTAGGCTTATCTAAGTTAAATATAACTAGAAATAATTTGAGATTAGTTTGGAATTGATAGAACAACAATGTTGATTACAATAAATGTATAATACACTATATATATATATATATATATATATATATATATATATATATATATATATATATATATATATATATATATATATATATATATATATATATATATATATATATATATATATATATATATATATATATATATAGTGAATTTTAGATAGCTAATGTAGTCAAATTGCATGTTTCTAACTTATAATTATCTTAAATATTATATTAAACTAAATTTAACAATATCATATGATTGTGGACCTCTTCCATAAGTTTTAGTTTTGTAGTTAAACTATAAAATTGAAGACACTTATATTCTAAGACAAGTATAGGGTATTTATCACATTAAAGATTCTAGATGTACATAAGAAAACAGAACATTGCCAAATTATCAGTTCCTTTCAAAAACCAAATTCATACACAGTTTTCACAGTTCAGTTTATGATTTCTTTTAAAAAGTTCTAGAAACACTTGGTACTTCTGAAAGATGCATCATTTTTGCTTGACCATGAAATAGAATAAATAGAAGAAAATCAAAGAAGTTGTATAATGCTGCATTGCGGAAAATAATTCTAGTTATGCTTAACCAATATTTCATTGATAACTTTGTCTAAGTTCATGTATGAACAACCTCCTGGACTAGTGTTCTCCTTTGCCTTCTTCTTCAATTCCATTACCTTTTGCCTCATCTTCTTTCCTTTCTCTCCCACCATCAATTCATTCACAAGCATCTCTACCTCATCTCTCTTCGCGTTTGTTTCGATTTCAGCTCCAATCTCCCATTCATTGCAAATAAATCTACTGTTTGTTGGCTGATCGGCAAAAAATGGCCAACACAACATTGGCACACCTGCACATATACTTTCAATGGTTGAGTTCCATCCGCAATGAGTCAAGAATCCACCTATTGATGGATGGTTCAACACTTTCTCTTGTGGACACCAACTTGCTATTAGGCCTCTATCTGCAATTTCATTGACAAACTCAGATGACAAAACAACCGAGCCACCGATTACAAGATCAGGCCTAATGATCCAAAGAAAAGGTTTCTTGCTATTGGCCAAACCCCAAGCAAACTCCAACAGTTGGTCTAGAGTCATAACTGTAATGCTTCCAAAATTCACATAAACAACAGACTCGGGTTCCTTTGATTCAAGCCAATCAAGACACTTGGTATCTTCTTTCCAAAGATTGGAATCTAGAGATGCTAATTGATGACTATGTGGAATTTGGTTTAACAATAAATGTAAAGGGCCAATGGGGTAAAGAGAAGGAAACATAGAGAGTATAGCATTTATTGCATCATTCTCAAGTTCATTGAAAGTATTCAAAACAATAGTAAAGTATTTATGAACTTTATCTGCCACATCGATTAAGAATTCTAAGATTATATCATTCGGGTTTGTTGTCCTTATAGAGTCGACAATGTCTTTCAACCGAAAGTTTTTCAAACCCGGAATCCAGTCTACTTTGGTTTCCAAGTACCCATTTGTTAGATAACTCTCATCTGCATATTAGCATATCATGAAAATTAAAGTTAATAGTTTGAAGTTCCACACACCCCTTAGGAAAAAAAACATAATTTAGCAGTACCTTTGAGTGGTGTGAGACCTTTTTCTATAAAGGAACGAATGTGCAAAATACACAATAAAGTACATGCACTTGCTGGAAAAAAGAGAACATTCGGTAGTGCAAATTCTTCAGCAGCTTGTACAGTAAATGACATGTTAATCTCAGAAACTATGCAAGTAAGTGGAGGGACAAGACCAGAATTTGTGGAGTCATGAAGTCTAGAGAGAAGTTTGCGGAACGGTGTGAGGAAGTTCTTTCTGACTGATTCACGAAGAGAAGGTATGTCTTGAGTAACATCACCATCATCACCTTCCATTGGAGTTAAACCATCTGGAATAGTCTCAAAGTTAAAGTCAGTGAAACCATCAAGAGAATTAGGACCCTTTGATTTAAGCAAGCGTTTGTGATTGTATTCAGTGTTGACAAAGGTTATGTGAAAGCCTCTAAGGTGAAGAAGCTTTGCTAGTTTGAACAATGGATTGATATGACCTTGAACTGGAAATGGAATCAACACAGCATGTGGCTTTTTATTGTCACCCATTTCTGAGCTTTTGTGTTTGAATGTGGAGCAAAGGGATTAGCCAGTGGTTTAATAGGAATAAAGTTAACCTTTCTCCGATTTGTGGAAAAGAAAATAGAGAAACAAGACAAGGAAAAAGTTAAAGTTCAATGAGATATTTCTCTTATAAAATGAAACAATTCTATGTTACACAAATTGACTCATCGAACATATAAGATAAATTTAAGTCATTTTCTTAACTTTTTAAAATTATAAACTCGAAAGCTAAATAAATAATAGAAGCGTAACTGATTTTTACTCTCATGTATGATGACAAATGAAAGAACACTAAAACAAGTATAAAGTATTTCTCACATTAAATATTCTAGTTGTACAGGACATCTCTGCCAAATTATCAAGATTATGTGGAAAAAATAAAAAACACATTTGCAAAATTATAAGCTACAACTAAACTCTAGCAAATGAAGTATGTTTGGTTGAACAATACTTTTGAAGCTAGACATCTCTTTCAACAAACAATGATTTAAGTTTGACTCACATCTTTGTCATGGTGTTCTCTCTAGAGACTATTCTTAGAATTTTATAATATATAAGATAATTATATTTATGGTCTTATTATCACTCTTTATGTGTCTTAAGTTGGTTGGCATCAATGTATTCGCTTCATTATAACAAATAATAGATTTTTTTTTACGAAATTTTGCTTCAGTCAAGAAGACGCGCTTACTTTATTTTAATGTTTAGTTAAAAATAAATAAGTTATTATCTCGGTTTGAATAAATAATAAAGAGGAAAACTAAGAAAGAGATCAAACTTTGAATTTCATCGACTTCAGTTAGGAAAGACAATCAGATATATCTCTAGGGGATATCAACAGAAATTATCCATAATAGATAGGATAAAAATTCGCTTAATTGGTATGAATAAGGACAGGGATAATTTTCCACTAAAATAAGTAAGTATGGACGCCGATGCAAATACCTTAATACCCAATCAACCTCGTATACCCACACAATATATTTTTATTATTATGTATACATGTTAATTTATCAATTTTATTAAATAGACACTATTAAACTTGTATTTTTTTAAATATAAATATTTATTTATTTTTTAACTCAACAATAACATTCTTGAATTTTTTTCATATTGATAAATTTAAAATGACATGATAAATTATAATGTATCAATTGTTTTCTATTAGAAACGCGAGCAAACGGGTATGAGTATGAGTACTTAGGTACTCATATAGTACATGTATAAATGTTGGTATCCACACGCGTATAGGTTAATTGGATTTGAGGCTTTTTTCTAATCGCTAGTATGAGGACGAATACTATAGTTTCCTGCCTAAATGCTGCTCATTGTCATTCCTAACTGTAGTTTATGTTTTTATTTCTTTTAAAACCATGTCATTCTTTTTATTTTGTTTTTTAATTAAAAATTAAATCATATATTCCTTCGGTTAGACTACCAACCGAAGAAAAAACATTCGTTCATTGAGTTTTGTCTATAAAAGCAGTTGTTTCTTTTTACTGAGAATATAACTATGAGCGATTCAAAGCTTCACTTAAAACTTTCGCCCTTTTCATTTCTTTTGCTCCATCATTCTCTTCTAACTAGTACCATTCTAACTCATACTTCTCCTTCAGCATTTCCTGCTTTTCGTCAAGATGAGCAATAATGGTTTTGATTTAGGGAATGACTATGAAGTGGAAATTTGATCTGGGCCATTTCCCATTTCTCCTTACCCATTTCTTAATAATGATCATGTAGGATTGAAAGTCATATTTGTATTTGAAGATTCTGAGTCACAAAGGATGTTAGGGGATTCCTTGGAAGAAGGAACTTCTTTTTCTACGTTGTTAGACGCCTGTTGTACCCCAAAATTTGCCCTCTCATTTATCAAGACTTTTCTCACAAGACTTCTTGGATTCAAGACAGGATTAGGGTTTGGTCAGCTCAAGGCCTCATCTTGCATTGATAACCTGAAATTAGGGTTTGAGTTTGCACAAGGATTTTTGGACCACCAATGCTTCATGTGACTTTCATACACCATCTTGGATCCCTAAGATTGCTCATGTTAAGTTTCAAGCCTTGAACCACATTTTTGCTCAGTCAATTGGACAGTTGACCTAAAATCAGCTATATTGGGGAAAAAGTCAACCATAGCCAATTTACAGTCAAACTTCATAATTTTTGATCCACAACAACATTTTAGACTCATATGTACCATTTGATCAAGTTTGGATCACAACTCCTCAAGAAATTTGATCAAATCATCAAAAGGGCAAAATGGTCAAAATTAGAGTTTTGACTGAGAAAGGGCAATTTCTGATTTTTGACCTAGCCAATGGCCAATTGAGTTCAAACATGTTTTCAAGAGTTCAATGGCATCATTGTAACCTAATTACATGGTTCAAAAGATCTCAAGTTCATTAGATTGACAGATGAATTTTGCAATCAACTGATCAAAAGTCAACTGTACACTAAAAAGTCAAACTTTGACTTTTTGGTCAAAATCAAGTGCCAAGGGTCATAATTCATCAAGATATGTCAAAATATGAAACTTGTTCACCAAGAAAACCAATTTTGGAAATTAGGGTTTTGGATTTGAAAAATTCCATAACTTAGAATTTTTCCAAGTATGGAAATTTTCTTATTTTTTCCCAACTTTTCACCATTTTTTCACCATGATGTAATTTGATTCAAATAAAACTTCCAACATGAACGTTGTAGTCCTCAATGAAATATACAACTTTGCTTCACAAACTTTTCCCAAAAGATGCTTGGATCTCAAGTTATGAATTTGTGAACATAGGTCCATGAACTATATAACTTAGTGAAAATTTGCCCTAATTTAGGCAGGTTTTTGACCCAACTTCATTGACATTTTTCACCTAGTTCCAAGAGTTATCTCAAAATTCATTTCAAAGATGGATTATAGACCATATTTCAAGCTTTCCAAAATTTCCATGAACTCTCCAATATCATTTGTGGTTAGGGAGAATCGAAGAAGGGAATTTGGCATTTTATCACTTTTGTTCAAGCCATTTTTACAAAGTATCAAGTTGCAAATCAGATCTATGTTTATTGTACCTTGCTTTACAGGTACTAAACTCATTCAACACTCCATAATTAAATGCAAACTCAGAAGATAAAGGATTTGTCTTGGCTTTTGGAGCATTGTACAAGAGATAATTCCATTTTAGGCATAAAAGTTACAATGCCATTTTCATAATGGTGAGCTTTTGAAATTTTGTCCATCTTGAGCCTTGACATGTCCCTTTGGTGCAAACAAATTCTACAGGTCATAAGAAATGTATACCAACTCTCTGCAGCACACAAGCCAGCCAGTACAAGCATGTTTGCATTGGTCACTGCACTTTTCTTCAAATGCAAGAAAAGTTGCAAAAGAGGTCAAAACTTGTACAACTAATAAGGAGTGGACTTTGTATCATTCTATACAAATATACAAACTTATTGCAAGGATGAACACGCTTACTTGACAATTGAAACTCTCAAACACAAAAACACCAAATTTCTGCCCAAACTCAGAGCTGCTGCAAAATCATAGCCATTTCATTTTTGGCTCGTGCGTTTTGTGGCTAGACATTTGAAACACTTCATAAACATCCTACCAAAGCTATCCAAGCCCTTGCCTTGCTTCTGTAAGCCCTGTTTTATCCATTTCAATTTTCAAACTTGGAGCTTGCAACTTGACTTGTGTAGAGAGTTCTGGCCATTCACAAAGCAAGCTAGGCATTGGAATAGCTTGAAGGAAGTTCAAGGAAGCTCACACGATCCTCAGGGCTCCATCAAAGTCCCTACATTGCTCTATACAAATCCAACTGAAGGAGGTATTTTTCCAAACTCTATCTCTCTGAATAGGCATCCTCAAGCCACGATTTATGAAGAAAAAATGTAGCCCTTAACATGGTGAAGCTGTACATATGCATACTTGTCATTTATATTAACTGTGCCATGAGAATTTGAAGCTTGAAGTTCCTAGATTTTTTAGGTCATGAATTAGGGCTGATAAAATTCTCCTTGATCTTTTAGAGTTAGATTACAAATTTTATATGGTTGGAATCGTGAGATCAAATGCCACAAGTTTCATGTTATAAGTTTTTGTTTTTGTGCAAGCATTTGAAAGATGCAGGTTTGAACATAATACGCGCGCAGAAGAGAAGCTGGAGGACAGGGACGATGGTTCTGGGCCTTTGGCGCCTTGGGCCTGTGGTTTCTGATTTTCACACCCCCTGACCACTACTTGCACCCCCTGGCATATTTGTTTTATTTTTCATATTTCTTTTTATATTTTTACATTTATTACTTTTATTTATTTTTTATGAATCATAAAACTCATGAAAATAAATTTCTTTATTTTTTGCATTTTTATTTTATTTTATTATTATTTTTTGCATAAAAAACATTTTATTAGAATAAATAGAACTTTATTTTCTTATAAAATTTGTAAATATATTTAAAAATACCATACATTTTTATTATATTATTTATACACATAAAATATTTATTTTTATACATATTTAATTTTTTAATTTTGGCATATAATATTATTTATTATTTTATATACAAATGATGGACAAAAATATTAATATAGAACATATATTTTCTTTAATAAAAAAATTAGGGTTTCCCCCTTTCAAAAATAACAATATTATTTTTTCTTATTTTCTAGGGTTAGTTAATTTATTTTTTCATACATTAAACAAATACAAAACATTTTTGGCATAAATACATTTGCATTGCATTTTAAATACTTGTTCATTTATTTAATTCGCACAATATTCAATTGGGTTGTAATAAATATATTTAGGTTTATTTTGTGCAAAATCCCCAATCAAAAACTTGTATCCCCCCTCCCATAATAATTGTTGTAATAGCTTAGTTTACATTTACGCAATTTATCGCATTTATACCATGTTTAGTAAACTAGGGTTTGCATGATAAGACCAAAAACAAAACAAATAGAAAAGACTTAATACAAGACAAATCAA